GAGTTAACCGTATGGGCGATACAATGCGTCGTCGTTCTTGCGTGTTTATTTATTTTACGGAGCGCTGAGAGCGATTTTATTCGTGAAATATCAATACCCAATTTTGATAATAATTAAGTGTTTTAGATTTTAAATGTTATCAGAATAAACCACTCGAAATTATGAAACGAGTTTCGGGAATCTTTCAATATAATTCTCTTTTGAAACAATTACTAAACACCAGAAAGTCAGTAAATAATATGTTAACTTTTGATTATGTAAGTAATGGCAAATTCACATTAATGAAATTAACTTTCAGCTCTCAGTTTAGATGCGATCCTTTACTGATTACATAGTAAAATAAACAATCGACCCATGATTCCAAATATTATTTTATATGCTTTAGTGATGCACAATTGTTTGGTAATCTATTATTGTAAATTAATTTGAAGATATGTTTTAGCCGTCCTCAAAATTACATCATTTTTAATAATTTTCAGAATATACTTTTTGATAGTGATTTATGTTCACAATTTCTACTTTGTCGGTTATATTGGTTAAACTGACAATTTTGAGTATAAATTTGGATCACTTTTACTAAATTAATACATCCATGATTTTTTTTTGTCCATATATATACTTGATTCGAGTTGATTCGAATCATGATTCGAATCAGGTTTTTTTCTGATTCGAATCATTCGAATCGGGAATTTTTCGAGTCGGCACATCACTAATATATATATATATATATATATATATATATATATATATATATTGAAATATATATATATATATTATTTATATATATATATATATATATATATATAACAAATGTATTCTGAGTGGATAATAGATATTAATTTGGAAATATGAACAAACAACACTCTTTTTTGCACTAATTTATTAAATAATAATTTTCACAAACGTTTCGAGACTAGGTTTGTCTCATCATCAGTGTGTTATAATTTAAAATTTAAAATATGGAAACCTAAATTAGCATTTTGTGTTATCCATTACAAGTCGCTTGATATACATACAGTATATCGAGTATACAGTAAATTAGAAACACACTGATGATGAGAAAACCTAGTCTCGAAACGTTTGTGAAAATTATTATTTAATAAAATTAGTGCAAAAAGAGTGTTGTTTGTTCATATTTCCAAATTAATAATATTTATATATATATACATAGATATATACATATATATAGAGATAGATATATATATATAGATACATATATACATATATATATATACATATATAGATAGATAGATCCATATATATATATATATACATATATAGATACATATATATATATATATACATACATATATATATATATATATATATATATATATATATATAAATTGTTCTTGGGCATACATTCAATTAAATACAACTAAATTAAGACATTTTTCTTGCCTAAAATTGTTTCTTCTCTAAGATTGTATAATTATTGGATGGAACAACTTTATCATAATATTTCACCATCTGAATATTATATATACAGTATACACCTAACTCTGTTTTTACACACGGTAGATTGGTTCCAGAAGAAGCCGTGTAAAAAAAAAACGGTAAAAAAAGACTTTGATCTTATACAAAAATGGGTGATTTGTTCCTAATCTCTAAAACCTATTAAAATCAGTGAAAAACAAGTATTTTTAAGAACAAGAATTCATGTTTTTTTATTAAATCAAATATAATAAAAAAAATCAAAGTAAAAATTGTTTGTGCGCGCTAAAGGGGAATTCACTTAAATCTTTAAGCTAATGTTCGCAAACTATCGATGGTTTCAGACTTTTTTCTTTCATAAATACTTTTTTGTGATATGAACATACTTCGCAAAAATTAAATTTGACAAAAAAAAATTTAAATACATGAAATTTCAAATCGTGCTAAATGGAATAAAATCGTGTAAAAAAATTAAAAATATTCAATTTTCAAACCGTGTTATATCGAAAACGGGTACAAAAAGACCATGTAAAAACAGACTTAGGTGTATATATATATATATATATATATATATATATATATATATATATATATATATGTCCTTTTTCTTTTCACTCTAGGTTGGACCAGAAGATGTGGATGAAACATTGCAAGAAGAAATCCAGGAAGAATGTGGAAAGTTTGGATCTGTCAAAAGTGTAATTATATATAATGAGAGGCAGTCAGAAGCTGTAGATACTGATATTCTAGTGAAAATATTTGTTGAATTTAGTTGCATGAAAGGTAAAAATTTATTTTAAATGATAAAATAATTATATTGCAAAACAGTGACTTGAGAATGTCGAATTTCTAAAGGTTTAAAAAATATTTATTTATTAATTTTATTTAATTTTTTATTTAAGTGTTTAACTTCTTAATTTAAATTAAGAAGTTATATACAGTTAGGCCGAAAAGAAGGCGCTTTTTTGATCATTTTTTCTGAGAAAATTTTTAAATCCTTTGAAAAACAAAAATTTATACACACATAACGGTATCTTTTAACTGTATTTTAAAAAGAGCCGAGGCACTAACTAATTTCATCCAACTCAGCCATGTTTTCCTTTTCAAATTTGCGTGCATCTTCGAAAATATTCGCCGGAATGATAGGAAATTTCTGTTTTCTTAAATATATTCACAAAATAAAAGAAATCGATTTTTAGAAACCCCCAACAGTAATTCAATGAATCACTTGACTTATTATTAATCCATATTTTCTTTAAATTATTTCAGAAGCAGAAACTGCTAGAGATGCTTTAAATGGTCGTTATTTTGCAGGCAGGCAAGTCAGTGCACAATTATATGAACAAGCTTATTTGACCATGGTGACTTTTCAGCGTAGTGTTGAACGTTTTATAATATTAATACAAATAATGTTACATAAAAATGTTTTAAGCTTTATTTTAATTTAATTTAAATATGTAAATAATTTTGTAAATAAATGAGTGAAATGAAAGAAATAAATGTTGTCCAATTTTTTTTTTCAGAAAAGCAGAAAATCGAGTTTTTTAAATTTTCACGTTTCATGAGAATTTTTAGGCAATTAAGCAAAGAGTGCAGAAAATAGAAATCGGGTTTTTAAGAGAACCGATCATCCGATTTGAATGATCTAAAAACATTCAATTGATGGGGAGGAGTGGTGATTAGTTTTTGGCAAAGGCAGGTCCAGCCATTTCGAAGATACGGAGCTAAATGTACAAAAAATGGCAGTTTTTGAGAGAACTAAGCATCCGATTTGAATGATTCAAAAAAAAAAAACTATCTGATTGAGTTGGCAATACAATTGCTGTTGAAAAATAATATTAATTTCTTTTTTCAAATTTTTTTTTTTTGTATATTGAAAATAATTCAGATTTTATTGTAATTCTTGCCAAAGTTAATTGTGAAGCTCACTTATATACTTTAAATAAATAATTTTAACTTTGCAATTCAGTTAGTATAATTCTTATAAATATTGGACAATGTTACAGTATTTTTAATAATCTATTCAAAAACATTTAATATTCCTCGAACATTTCGTTTTGGTACGAGACGATGCCATACACCACTTGGTGTTTTTATACTTAAAATTGTGTTTTCATAATTTTTGTTCTTGTTTTCACGCCTCTGAACCCCTCATGTCTCATTTGTTTGAATGGCTTATTTTATACCTCTGCTCCCATCTAAATAATTCTTTTATTAGATATAATTATAAGCATAAGTATTACTTAATTTGATATCATACTAAGTATATAACATTAACGTTCTCATAATTAAATATTATTGTAATTGACAGGTTTTAAAGCACCCAACAGGACAAGAGGCCGAGACAATCAAACACAAGCTAGACCAGGGGTCGAAGGCAAACCAAGAGCTGTCTGTATCCGCTGATGAAAATAGTCTACACAATGGAGCACATCGTCAGACACTTCGCTTTCTCTTGACTTACAGACCATACAGACACTGATGATGCTGAACGCTCTGGAAGGCCAATTGACGTGGTTGCACCGAAAAATATCAAAAAGGTTTGCCGAAACGTTTTGGAAAACCGAAAAGTATAAATGCCTGAGATAGCTGACACCCCAAAGCTATCAATAGAACATGCTGGATATATCATACACAAATATTTGAATAAAAAAAAACCCTGTGCAAAATGGGTGCCGGTCGAACCAAATTTTGAACATTTGATCAAAGGTATAACGAGTAAGAGTATTTGGAGTTGTTTAATCGAAATCGAGTTTTTGCATTAATATGTTACCATGGACGTGACCTGCCTTCACCACTTCACTCCAGAGTCGAATAGACAGTCATCCGAATGTACTAGACACGATGAGGAGAAAAAAATACAAACAATCAGCAGGCAAGGTTATGGCGTCAAATTTTTGGGAATTGCAAGAAATGAACTTTATCAACTATCTTGAGAATCGCCAGGCCATCAACTGTGACTATTGTATAATGTTATTGGAACATTTGTAATTCAAAATTGGAAAAACGGTCCCTCTTGAAAAAGAAAACTGTGCTGCTTCACCAAGACAACGCACCAAGTCACAAATCCGTCAAAATAGTGGCAAAAAAACATGAATTGGGCTTCGAAGTGCTTTACCACTCACTATATTTTCTAGATCTGTTCCCCAGCAACCATATCCTGTTCTCAGATCTCAAAAGAATGCTCGCTGTGAAAAAAAATTTCCAAATGATGAGGCGATAACCGAATTTTGTGGCAAGGTACAAATCGTACTACAAAAATCGTACTACAAAAATATATCTAAAAGTTCAAAGTTTGCTGTAATCGGTATATCGTCTTCGAAGAAAACATATATTGTTTTCTTGGTTATCCTATGGACTTATTGAGTGAAGTGATATTTCTATAGGAAAAATTGGTTCAAGATACGAACAATTCGACATGCGAGACGAATTAAACTCGTATGTCAGGAACCACCGTATTTTACTAACGTTGCAATTGAATAAAACCTGATTATAGTATTTAATGCATGTTTATTTCTGATTAGGGTCAGTTACATAAATCTTACAACGAGAGTGAAATTTATTTCCTAATAATAGCAAAGCCGGTGCGGGAACTTAGGGGAGGCTGGGCACGGCTGGACCCACTGGTAGAAATCACTTTCTTTATAGTAACTGGGTTGCTGGTGTACATTGACGTAGTTGTTGGCAGTTGCGATGGCCGCTGGGCTATTGTTACCAACGGCGTCGGCGAGTGTGACATCACGAGCGGGGTGACACGGCACTGGGGCGCATGGTGGCACCTCGTGGAGCACTGGCAGCGGGTACACATCGACATGGGGAATATGGGGATTTATAACTCTTGAATGATAAATCGATTGAACTACCTGGAAATAGAATAATGAATAATGCAAGAGTTTTTCAAATAGAAAAGATAATTTATTTTGGATTGGACAACGCCGGGCGAGAAACAATCAAACCTTTTGTTTAATGTGTAATACGTATATTGCTTTTAAAAATTGACCTGTACGGCTAAGATAATAACGACTGCAACAACAAAATATTTCATTTTCTGCTCAGCGCTATGGATTCGTAACTAAATGTTATGCAATTATTTTTTTCTGCTTTTATATATCTAAAACTCAAAGGCAACATATTTACATATTAATTGTTTAATAATTACATATATTTTTTAGACGATGAAACGTGATAAATTCTGATATCATTTATGCGTCTTAGATGACGCAACAGGTTAGCATACGTGAGTAATATTAAATAACATACATATGCTTAGGTACTATCATAATATCAAATATATTATGTTTTAATTAAAAGTAATTATTTATTTACACAAAACATTTTCAAGGTCCAATTCATTGTATTCCTAACTACAAGTATAACCTAAATTATTATAGCGATAATAATAATTGTAAAAATTAATTATTATGCTATATATATTATATTATATCATTATATATAATAGATTAATATAATATAATATATATATATATATATATATATATATATATATATATACACCTAAGTCTGTTTTTACACAGTAGATTGGTTCCAGAAGAATCCGTGTAAAAAAAACGTGTAAAAAAAGATATTGATCTTATACAAAAATGGGTGATTTGTTCCTAATCTCTAAAACCTATTAAAATCAGTGAAAAACAAGAGTTTTTAAGAACAAGATTTCATGTTTATATTTTATTAAATCAAATATAATAAAAAAATCAAAGTAAAAATTGTTTGTACGCGCTAAAGGGGAATTCACTTAAATCTTTAAGCTAGTGTTCGCAAACTATCGATACTATCGATGGTTTCAGACTTTTTCCTTGCATAAATACTTTTTTGTGATATGAACATACTTCGCAAAAATTAAATTTGACAAAAAAAAATTAAGCACATAAAATTTCAAATCGTGCTAAATGGAATAAAATCGTCTTTCAAACCGTCTTGTAAAAACAGACCTAGGTGTATATATATATAATATATATACCCTAATGGGCGGGTCGATTTTAAGGTCACATTTGTTGAAAGCGTTTTATTCTTTTATTTTGAGACTCCATTGGAAACGCATGGCAAAAAGAAAGACCTCTTCAAAAGTGAGTATTTTAGGAATATTGTAGTTAATCGTGCAGAAATATTTCGTATTCGGTGACTCCTAAAGTAACATACGGTTTGTGCAAGTGTAAACTTAGTTCAAGTTGTCAACGCATTCCTTGGCATATTATACGATATCGTATAAAAGTTCTTGTTTGAACATGGAAAAATGGAGTGCCCTTTAGCAGTCATGAGCGGCTAATCGAATGGCATTTGAAAGGTACGATAATAGGCATTTAGTGTACACTTTTATTATATTGCTGGTGGATTTTTATTATCGATTTTTTTTAAATTATTGACGTCTTTATTAACAATGAGTTTAATTGGCCATTAATATTACAATTGTAGTAGTTCACTTTTGTTGTATCGATTGAGCAGTAATTATCGTAAGTATATGAAATATTTATATACAATCAAATAATTCATATGTCGATTGTCAATTTTGGTACATAGATTTTATTCAGGTTGCCGGTGAACCACAATTAAGGATAGTAGCTCTTTAAGAAGTAATATCTGCGGAGGGATCAGAAAAACCCTCTAGATAGGGCGGATTTTATTTTAAGGCTTTGAGATATAAAAGTATATTACACTTGTTTAGTAGTTTACTGATCTATTAGGCACTCGAGCTCAAGGCGAATAAAAATTGAACAGTACGTCAAAACAAATTTACTGAAAATTTTTAAAACTATTTTAGTTTAGTTCTTGTCTGAAAATGGAAAAATGGAACCCTCTTAGCAGTCACAAGCGGCTAATCGAATGGTATTTGAAAGGTATGATAACAGGCATTTAGTGTACCCTTTTATTATATTGCTGGTGGATTTTCATTGTCGATTTCTCTAAATTTTTGACATCTTCATTAACAATGAATTTAATTGGCCGTTAATATTAAAATTCTAGTAGTTCACCTTTGATGTGTCGATTGAGCAATAATTCATCATCATATTTCGAAATATTTGAAATATTTATACAGAGTCAAATAATTCATATGTCGATTATAGATTTTAGTACTTAGGCTCCGTATTAATTTTTTTTTTCTTGATTCAGGTTGCCGACGAAGGAACAGAAAGACTTCTCTGGAAAGGGCTATTTATTGGACGGAATATGCTTCGAGATGTTAAGTAACTAAACTTTTATTTACTTATTTATTTTATTATTCTTATATTTGTTCCATTATGCACATGTTTTTTTTAAATTTATTTTAAATATTTATATATTTCAATATTCAGTTTATTACTTATAAGAATATATTCATTTATTTGTTTTTCTTATTTAACTACACAATTATTTTTTATTTATGTGTCCTTCAGTAATTTATTCAGTATTTAATTTTTTTATTTATTATTTACACATTAACACATTTTGATACTTAACTAAATATGTTTTATCTATTTATACATTATTTATATTTATCTTATTTATACATTTATTTTATTATGTATTTATGTATAAATTATTTTTATTCTATTTATTTTTTAACTTTCCGTAGGGTAAGTTATTGTAATGGGCCAAAAATCGGAATTGAAAATTTTTACATTTTCGACGTTTTGAAGGTTTCTGAACGTTTTGGCATACCTCAGAAAAAATGGATGGTGTGTGTGTATGTATGTATGGATACAAATTTCCAGTCACGTTTTAGGGCGCCGGATCAACCGATTGAATGGTTCAAAAAACATTCGATTCCTATTGATAGGGAAAAGAGCTGATTAGTTTTTGGCAAAGGCAGGTCCAACCGTTTTCGGAGATACGGAGCAAAAAGTGCAGAAAATAGAAATCGAATTTTTGAGAGAACGGAGTATCCGATTTGAATGATCTAAACAACAATTCAATTAGTAATGATTGGGAGAAGTGTTTATTAGTTTTGGCAAAGGCAGGCCCAGCCATTTCGAAGATACGGAGCTAAATATGGTAAAATGGCAGTTTTTGAGAGAACTAAACGTCCGATTTAAATGATTCAAAGAACTTTCAGCCTGTCTTAACAAAATAATTGATTTTGGAAAAAAAAATTTTGTTCCAATTTTTTTTTTGTTTTTTTTTTTTTAGTTTTTGTATATCGAAAATACTTCAGATTTTATTTTTAATTCTGACTATAGTTCTAATATACTTTACAAATAATTTTAACTCTGCAATTCAGTTTATATAATTCTTATAAATATTAGACAATGTTACAATATTTATAATAATCTATTTGAAAACATCAGTATTCCTCGAACATTTCGTTACGGTACAGAAGTTCCAGCAATTTGCCTTAAGGCACGATGCCATAATTGCCTCAAGACAGAATTCCACTTACAGCTAGTTTATTTTTTAATTTACTAACATATTTACCTATTTGTTTATTCAATTATATATTTGTTTATTCATTATTTAAATTATTAATCAATATACTTTTTTCTTCGTGCAGTTTTTCTATTCCTATTTTTTTGTTCATTTTTCTAATTTTATTAATTCATTTTTTTTTTATCAACATTATTATAGTTATTTCAATTTTTCAATGTCCATTCAATTTTTTAGTGATATCTTTGTTTTCATAAGGTTTATTATTATGAGTATTTATACTTTTTATCATTTATTAATATTTATATTTAACATTTTATTTTATTATTTTTATTTTGTACTTTCATTTTCATATTTTGAGTGATATATTTGTAGTTTTTATTTTTAAATTTAATTATTGTTTTTAACAGTTTATTATTATATTATTGATATGTTTTTATTTTTATCTTTATATTGTACTTTTATTTCAATTATATTTTTATTTTAGAATTTGTTGTTTTTTAGTATATATATTTCTCGAATATTT